CTGTCTGGCTTTGAACATTCTTCACAGACACAATGCTGCCGCATCACTGTTTCCTACAATCCCTTTGTTTACTTCTGTAACGTGGCCCAGACAGGGCCTGCTTCGAATCTGGGGAGAACAGCTTAGAGCAGAAAGGCCTGAGATCCAAAACTACTTGTGCCACCTTGGAATCAGCACCCCAAAACAAAAATCTAGCTTTAAAATTGTTCTTTCTGTCCCTCCCCATCCTGCCATGGGATGTCACCGAGCTCTGTTGCATGTTGAGTGACTGCCGGACAGCAAGTCCTGTTTTTACAAATAAGGCTGCATGTGGGGAGTGCAAAGCTTTGTCCTTCAAGGAACCACGTTTGGCCAGATCCCCAGCCCAGTTTGAAAAAGCCAGTTTTACTCAAAATGCATATAAAGAATATAGTGGTGTTCACGTGGTGGTCAAACACCATTTGTAATGACATGGATTCTTAGGGTCAGTTTAACTCAAGTTCAGACACTAGGGAGGGCTCCATTCAGTTTGTGTTTGGATTCACGCCTGGAACTTCACCAGGTCCTAATCAGTTACACCAGTTTAACAGTTGAAACTTTCAGAAGCATGAGGTGATTGTTGTTGTTGACAGTAGCCTTTTGGGGGAATTTTCTAAAGCGTACCCGCAGCATTTTTCTTGTGCACATGAAGAAACGCATCTGCTTTAGCCTTTCCTGCTTCATCCCGCACCCCACAGACAAACCCCGCATCTGGCTTAAGCATGTTGCTTAATTCTTTCCAGAAAGAGGGAGGGAAGGTGGGAAGGGAGTTTTTTCCTTCTTTATACCTTTTTGGTAGTAGCGTTCATTGTCCTTGCTGTTCTGGGTGGGGTGAGTGCCTGAATAACGTAAATACACCACGGATAGGAAGCAGTTGGCATGCGGCCATGCAGCTGGATTACGCAGACACCTGTCACAGCTTTTAGTGCAACACTTTATCCCCCTGCCTTGTTTTCAACAGTCAACTTGCCTCAGTTAATGCTGGCTATTGGGGTTGCTGCCAGAGGAGATGGGGGGCTTCTTTTCCCCACCCTCAACACCAGGTCCTAATCAGTTATACCAGTTTACCAGTTGAACTGGTGTTCAGCTGGTAAACTGGTGTAACCATAGAGAAGCGCACCACAGAGAAATCTGTGCCCTCGGGAACGGGCATTGAAGGAATCAGGGCAGGAAAGGAGGATGCTGCAGACCACAGTCAAAGGCCAAAATTAACAGCCCCGGTAGTCTGGAAGCCAGGGGCTGGGGTATTTGTTTGAATCTCTAATAAATGAATGCTCTTTGGAAATAAGTTTATGGCACCGACATAAGTAATGCAAACTTCCCTTTTTCGTGTTTACTTAATCCCTTCAAAGGAAGGGAGAAAAGCACACAGCCGCAACAAAAAAAAGTAAAAGCATGTTTTAGCAAGAGGCGTGTGGTTTCAGTTATTCACCTTGGCCATTTCCTGTTGGGATGAACCCACAGTACATTCACAGACGATGTGAGAAAGCTGTGTTTCACACTAGAGAATTACACATCCTGGGAACCCTTAGTTTTTCTAGAATAAATGGGGAATGTGGGAGGAGCGTATTCTCAAATTGTGTGTATGTAACTAAACAAATATTATAAAATGTTCTTAATCTCTCTGATCTAAAGGAATATGCATGTTGAATCCTGAGGTGAATGGATTAATGATAGAAACCGTGTGACTTTTTAAATTCAATTTTCCTATTAATGAAAAGGGAATCTTTAGCCTATCCCGGTTAAGCTGTTGTGGCTCATAAGCAAATGAGTATTGAACACTATATTTTCTCAGAGATTTTCTTAGCTACAAATAATTTTTTAAAAACCTGTTTACAAATATTGTCTATTTAACCCATTCATTCCTCGACCTACTACATGAAAGACATCACTCTAGGTTCTAAGGATATAGCAGTAAACAAAAAGGGCAAAGTCCCTGCCCTCATGGAGTTTACATTCTGGTTGGGAAAAGTGGGCAGACAGGGCAGATGTTGATTTAGTAGCACGTAGAGAGACAAAGCACGGTGAGAAGATTTAAGAGGGGTGGAGGGTGCTGCTTTATATAAAGTGGACGGAGAAATCTTCTCTAATGAAATAACCCTGGACAGAGACCCGAATGAATTAAGGAAATGAGGCTAGTTGGTGTGTGGAAAGAAGAGTGGGAAATGGGGTTTGAAGAGAAGGAAATAACGAGTGCAAAGGCCCTGAGGTAGGGTGCTTAATGCAGAGGACCATCAAGGCCGATGGGACTGAAGTGGGATGAGCAAGGAGAGTAAGATATGCACTGGATTTTGACTCTTACTCGGAGTGAATATAAGAAGCTTCCGGAGAGTTTGAATAGAATGTCGTAATCTGACTTACCTTTCGACTTTCTTAGAAAGTTGGGCAGGTATGGGAAGTAAGGAGGCCAGTTAGGAGGCTGTTGCAATCGTCAGAGAAGTGTTCTGGATATATTTCAAAGGAAGAGCCAGTTGGGAATCACGAGTTCAGTCTTAAACATGTTGACTGAGGTGCCTACTAGATGCCAAAGCAGAGAAATCACACAGGCAGTTGGTTTTACTGATCTGAAGCTTAGGGAAGAGGTCTGGGTATGGAAATGTGAATTGGGGCACTGTTCGCACATGGAAAATATTTAAGTGGAGTTGTTGGCCCTGGCTTAGATCATGGATCGTTTAGGCCCAGTTAAAGGAGGGGAGGCAGCAAATACTGGTACCCAGTAGTAGGCTTGCTAGTGGGCGCCAGTGCAAGGTCTCTTCTGAGTGTGTCTATTTTCTCAGTGAAATTGAAGCATGCTCATCCATCATCTGAGAGGGAGGGGGCAGGAGGACATATGAAACAGTCTTACTGGGGATGGGATGCTGGGTAGACCCACTTGAGTTTAGTGGTTAGGACTTCAAAAGTAGACCTACAAGCATAGTAGAGTGGGGTCTTTCCCTCTGACCATGTGCAGCAGCCTGAGTGAGGGCATGGAGTTAAGTAGATGGTAGGATTTCACCAGGGTTTGGAGTTTCACTGGGCAACTTCAGTAAGGAAAGAGCAGGCAAACATGTTTAGGTTTTCTGCAAGACTGTCATGATAGACCGTGGAACTTAAGTTGGGTTGAGAACATGAGGGTGTGGAGAACAGGGCACAATAGATTGTTGGCCCTGGGGAGCTGAAGAACTATTGGAATCTAGAGAGTGTGAGCTGCGCCATAGGGAGATGGTGGCTGGAGAGCGGGATGCTTAAGACTGACAAGGTCAAGAGAGTGACCTAGGCCTGGGTGGCTGAGACAAGGACATTGCAGGAGAAGAGCTCCAGAAACTGAGAGGTCAAAGAATTGGAAGGATCCTCTGGGAGAATGATGAAACTACGAAGAATCATGCCAGGGGTCATGGTGAAGAAATGGAGGGACAGTAAGCGCACGTGCTAACCTCTTCAAGGAGTGAGGAGAGGTGACCAGAGGTCTGAGGAAGGGGGCACGGTCAGACTTGTGAGCTTCAGAGGAACTCGAGAGAGTGCCGATAGCCTGCGGTAGAGGTGGCTACCCTACCCGCCATGTAGGCTGAGCGGGGGAAGGGTGCAGGAGAGAGAAGGCAGCCACACGAGTGGGCCACATGACTCAGCCAGAGAGCGTTTTCATTTAGGTTAAGAAAGTGAAAGGAACTTACAAGGCGTTCCTGGAGTAGTCAAATTCATAGAGACCAGGAGTAAGATGGGGAGTTAGTGTTGAAGGGTACAGGGTTTCAGTTTGGGAAGATGAAAAAAGTTCTGGAAATGGATGGTTGATGTTCTGGTGATGTTTGCAGAACAGTGTGAATGTACTTGATGCCACGGAATGGTACACTTAAAATGGCTAAAATAAATGTTCCATTATGTGTATTTCACCACAATAAAAACAAGTGTGAAAGGAAGGGTTTAAGAAGTAAAGGGGGATGTTGGCCCTTGAGTCCCAGGGGCACAGTGGGAGGGGAGCTGGGTCACAGTAGTGGGTGAGCTGCAGGGGGTGGTAGGGAACCTGGGTGGCTTTGCCTTTGCGGGTGAGTGAGGTGAAGGATGTGGGGCAGAGGGACAGTCTGAGTGGTGTTTGGCAGATCGCAGGTTGCCCGGCTAGGCTCTGAGCACTGGGCCTGGGGTGCGTAGAAAGAGAGGGTTCTATGTTACTCTGCATCTTTGTTTCCCTGGAATCTGGTACAGTGCCTGGCATGCAGAAGATGGGGATGTATGTTTGAAGGATTAAAAAAAAGCAATGTTGTTCCAAGAAAGAAAACAGCAAGTGAGAATTTAATGGCCTTGCCGAAAATCCAAATAAGTTTCGGAAAAGTGATGAAGAATGAAAAGAAGCTAGAGTTAGTCTCTGGAGGAGAAAGAGGATTTTTGGCCAATGTGCAAAGGAACTTATTGCGAAATCAAAGTTTAGACTGGAAAAAATAAAATCATAAACAGAAGGCTACACATGTGTAAAGGGTATTTGAACTGAAATATAAATGATCGCACGGTGAATTTGTGATTTAGGAGTGGGCTATCGTCTACTTAACGCTAAATCAGAAGATTATTATCCTTATAAAATGTTAAGCCTTGGTCATTCATTATAAACCAAGTTTTAAGGGTTGAAACCATAATATCCTCTTAAGTTAATAGATTCATCTTTCTGAACTTATAGATACCAAACTGTAGATAGAAGTTCATTCGTTTTATTATTAATATGTCCACCTAGAAACTGGAGAATGTTATGCTTGCATACATTCTCAAAGATTCACAAATGTTTTTTAGTGACTGGGCGTCTTTTTTTTGTTTTTTTTTAACGTACTTTTATATTGAGTTTAATAGTTTGGGTTTTTCCCTGAACGTTGATACAGGCTATCTTTTAAGGTTGCTGCCAGGCGTAGATTTTCTTTTGATGAGTCCCAAAAATGCTGGCTGTGGTCCCCTTGCACTGTGAAACATGTCCTCCAGCTCCAGACCATTGTCATGCCCCATTCTTCTTGTTGTTGTCGTTTTAGTGACAGCTATATTGTGCGCGTCAAGGCTGTGGTTATGACCAGAGATGACTCCAGCGGGGGATGGTTCCCACAGGAAGGAGGCGGGATCAGTCGCGTGGGGGTCTGTAAGGTCATGCACCCCGAAGGCAATGGACGAAGCGGCTTTCTCATCCATGGTGAACGACAGAAAGACAAACTGGTAATGGCAGACGTGCAACGCGTGGGTTAAATTAGCAACGACTGATTTCTTGACATTAAATCATAGCCCTTTTCCTGTAGGTATTTTTTTCCTTCTTTCTCTGACTTCAGACTCTTGCAAAAGCTTCCAAAGTTAGAACTCACGGGGCTGGCGCCAAATTGCAAAACCTAACCTTGGCTTTTCAGTGAAGTCACTTTTTACTACACACTGTATAGCTCAGATGCTTAGAAGCCGTGCATTTGGCTGTCTTATTTGCGTCTTGATTAATTAAGCTGTCTTTCTGTCACTGTTACAAGATGTTCAAAACGAAAGTATGTTCTTTATTGTGAATCACATCGTAGTGAGCTGTAAAGTCAGAGTTTTTTTAAACATTGGGTTTATTCATGGAGCATGCCATCAAGGTTTGGATGGTGAGAGATAGAATGCAAAGAGGAAGTGTCGTCTGACGTTACTTCTAAATAAATGTTTATCTCAAAGATACTGCAGCTTCTATTTCATAAGCTAATGAATTAAACATGTTTGGGAGAAGAAAGTAACAAAAAGCAGTGGCATTACACTCCTGTAGTAATTCTACATGCTTCAAAATAGGCACTTTGGAGAGTAATCATTATCTCACAAAAGTGGGGGCGTTGATAGTTTATAACATAGTTTCATGGAGGGACTGGATGTCCAGTGCTATGTTATGAAGGAATCTATGATACGAAGGAAAATTGTCTATTTTTAATTGGTGGCCTTGAATCTGGGAGAACATGCTCCTATCTGTATTCGATCCTGGAATGTATACTCCAAAGCCAACCATTGATTCAAAATATGCAGGATCTCAACAGAGAAAATACAAAGACACCACAGGAATAAGTCAGTGGTACATTTGAGACCCTTGACAGCGGCATGTGTTGAGTTTTATGTGCTGAGTATACAAACTTAATCTTCTCCTGCAACCACGTCTTAATGTTTATAAAGGTTACAAAATAAGGCAGAACAATTTCTAAATGTTATATATGGATTAACAGAAGTGGTATCTTCACACTTGATTCATTTCTGAAAATGAAATGAATGAAAATTTAAAGGGAGAATAGAATATAGCTCATTTTAAGAAACATGGCCATTCAAGAAATTCCTTACATAATAGTCAAATAATTAAAACATTCTTGTTTATAAGATATTCAAAATAAAGGCAATGTAACCACACTAACAAGAAAAAGTAAAATAACTACCTTTTATCCAACATTTACCTAAGGGCTGAGTACAATGCTAGGCCTTTAGTTAAGATGTATCATTGTATCCTTACAGTAGCCTGTATAGCTATAACTGAAGAAACTAAGATTCAGAAAGACTCCTTGTTCTGGATGACCCATCCTGGGGGCTGGGAACCAGTATTTGATACCCTGTCACTCTGACCCCAAACTGAGCCAAAGTCGCATGTGCATAACCACCTCTAACCCCTTGATATAGTTTTTTTTCCCTTTGTGCGTATTTTTATTTTTACCTAGCTGTAATCAGAGCTTGTAAACAGTTTTATATCTGTGTGTGTGGTGTGGTTTTGTTTTGTTTTGTTTTTTTGGGCCACATGGCATGTGGGATCTTAATTCCCCGACCAGGGATCGAACCCTTGCCCCCTGCAGTGGAAGCGCGCAGTCTTAACCACTGGACCACCAGGGAAGTCCCTAAAGTTTTATATCTCATAAGATATTCTCATAAGAAATTTTCCATGTTGCTGGTATCAGGTTGATTTTCCATTGTTTATTTGAGGATCTCCTTAGTGTCAAATGTTAAGATTCCTTCCCTTCCACTACCCCCAGTATTATCTACCTGCATTTTCCACACTTATTATTTACTTTGAATAATTTGAGGGGGTCAAATTTTTATTACTTTTGATACTTGTACAAAGAGCTGCTACCAGCATATATGAGAATTTTCTTTAACACACTGAGGATCACATATTTTAAACCTTCACCAATTTGATGAGAGTAACAGTGGTATCTTGTTGATTAATAATGAGATCAAATGTTTTTCTGTTTGTTAAACAGTCTTAACTGTGAATTATCTGTCAGTGTCCTTTGCGTATTTACCTTTTGGGGCCTGATTTTTCTCCCTGATATGTATGCCCTCTAAGTATAATAAAGATACTCATCTTCATCTACATATTTGCAGATATTTTTATACTCCGTTGCTTGCCTTTTTTTATTTTAGTTGGGGTTCTTTTCCTACAAACATTTTGCTAGAAAATTTTTTTTCCCTTTTTCCCTTTTTATTTTTATTGTTACTACTTTTGTGTTAGCAAATTATTGTACCTGAGTGGTTACATCTTTTTAGGTCTATTTTTTCCCGGTATTTCTGTGGTCTGTCATAGACTATGTCAACCTGAAATAGCCTTTAGATTGTCTGATTCAGCCCTTTCATTTTATAGATACATTTATAAACTTGTACCACCGACTTGACCATAGTAATTGTGAGCAATTTTGTTTGAGGCCCTTTATGTAAATAACCTCAGTTAAATTCCTGCAACATTCTGAAGGAGGAGGATACTATTGATATTATCTACACTTGGTAATGGGGAACCTCAGTTCTCCAAGAAATGATCCATTTCCTCAGTCTGGGGCACATAGTCATTAGCAGAGCCAGCACTGGGAACCATTTCATTGTGAAGCCAAAACCTGGTCCCTTCATACCAGCTCTGCATGGGAATAGGACAGTCCTGGCTGTGGACCAGCTTCTGTTGTGTGTTGCTATTGCACAAGGATTGTGTGCCTCATCCCCTCCCCTGTCATGTTTCTCCATCACCCTCTCCCTCTTCTTGTCCCCCCTTACATTCTGTGACTCTACACTTCTGGACTTTTATATATTATATCCACTAGTAGTTAAATCACACACCCATACACCCAGATGTGCTTCTGCATCTTTCCATCCCTCACACTCCGGTAAATCCGGGACTCCTAACACACAACCCCACACACACTTATGGCAATATGGTGACTCCTCCTTTGGCCTCCGAGCTTACGTAATGCAGCATTTCTGCCCACTGGAGGGTATGAATCCTCCTGGAAGCTGTGCAAATGGGGTGGAGTTGTTGAAGGACACCCCTCCCCCTCAGTGGTGGAATGGCAAGGAGAGGGTGGAGATCATTTTGGGAATACAGAGAATGGATGGTATCAGAGTTCCCAGTATTCCAACCGGGACAACCAGCCTTTTCTGATAGAAACCGTTGTCAGTAGTTTTTCCAATGTAGTGCAGTTCTAGAATTCAGCACATTGGTTTTTTGTTGTTGTTACTTGACTTCTGTGTTGACGCCTGTGAACTTAACTTCCATTGTTGCTATGGGAAAAGTCTGTGTTCCAAATATCCATTCACAAAGTCGTTATTTGGATAATTTTTTGTGAGTTGGAGACAATCAAGTTTTCCTGAGAAATTATATGTAAACTAAAAATTTCTGAGCTGGATCTTATTTTAGATGGATTAGAGGATTTTACTTCTGAAATGAATCCTGTGAGAAACTACCTTATGAAGGTGAATCACAAAATCTAAAAGGTTGATCATTCCAGTGCAGGTCTGTGAGCACTCCCACACACATTTGGTGGGAGTTACAGCCGGCAAAGCTCTCTGAAAGGCAACTTGGCAGGATATTAATTTAAAATGTGTATTCCTTTTTACTTGGCAGTTCCACATCTAAACCCTATCCTATGGAAATAGACTGCAGAGCTTTATGGATAGCTGCAGTTATCAGAGAGTTTTGGTCTCAGAATCCCTTTACCCTCTAAAAATGTATTGAGGACCCCAAAACGCTTTTATCTTGTAGCTTATAGCTACTAATATTTACCATACTAGAAATTAAAACTGAAATTGTTAAAAAATCTTAATTAAAGAGTAGTGTTAGCATAAATGACATTCTTTACAGGCAAGAATAGGCAAATAACTATATAACTATTTTCCAGAAAAAAAAAATAATTAGAAGAATAGCATTGCTTTGCATTTTTGCAGATCTCTTTATTATCTGACTTAATAGGAAATAGCTGGATTCTAATGTCTACTCTTGCTTTCAATCTGTGGCCATATGTTTTGGTTGAAGCCTCACACAGATATGTAGTTGGAAAACATGGAAATATTTTAATAGCCTTTTCAGACCATCGTAGATATACTTCTTTGGTGCTACACCAAAACTCGGCTTGTAGTAGTTTCTTAAATGTGGACTCTGAGACCATATCAATGACCTTTTTATACTCTATTACATTAAAATCCACTGGTTTATCTTTCTCTTTGCATGGATCTTTTACTCATTCCTGATTTTGTAACGTCATGCATTGGTCATTTGGAAAATAATAGTTTACTGAGTTAAACAGATCTTCCAAATGTTGAGACATTGAATTCTACAATATCAAAAATCACATTTCTTAATATCACCACTGATCATTAGAAAAGTCTTAAGTATTGGGAAGCTGTCCAAAATTCTGATTTTCACTTGAAAGTTGAAATTTCATTATTGGCAACAAATATCTCCTCGTTTTCCTTGAGGTGACAGGCTCGCTGTGTTCATGTTCAAGAAAATGTCTGCCAAGTACCCAAGTCTGAATAACCGTAGTTCACCTGTAGGCTGTTCTTTCAAGTAAACCTGGTGATCCATGAGGAAAGTAGTTAGTTCAACTCACAACTGTAGCAATTACACACGTTTTTCCTTGAGACAATCGTCATTCTTCCCCATGCAGTAGAAGTAAAAAGGCTGTGAGAGATGCTCTTCCCTTTTCTAACTGTGCATTTGTGCAAAGCCAGAGTTTCTTCCCATACTTCAGCTAAAGCAACGTATTACAGCAGATCAAATGCAGAAGCAGATATGAGAATCCAATTATGTGTGCTTCCCATTTCATCACACGAGATGAAAGATGTGCATTCACAGGTCAAGATGTAACAATTTTTAACTGCTTCTTCAAGTACAATCCTATGTAAGACTGGCCTTTTTTACTTTGACCATGTGACAGTGGTGAATCCGGTGACTTTGGTACTGTTTGGTGCCACTGCGTAGCCTTGATTCATGCCTCAGCACAGCAGTTTTACCCACCGTTCCTTTTGCACCATTAGCAGAACTGGCAACACAATGAAAAAGCAAAAATATCTTAATATATGAAAATAGTTTTGCCATCCCAGACCCCGTGAAAGGACATGGGGGTGCAGAGGGAAGGCTCCCAAGAGACCAAACTTTGAGAACATGTTCAAGGATGTTCATTCCGGTGTAAAAGCGACCAATTAGAAATGACTTAAATGCCCATTAGTGTGGAGAATGGCTGAATAATTTTAATATATCCGTACTGAGGAATATTATTTATGCAGCCACTAAACAGAATCCTTTTTACCTTCCTATATCTCCAAGGCATGTTTCTGGGAAAAAGGCAAGTTAAAGACCAATTTATAGGCTTGGCTACATTTAAACAGACTCACTCACACAAACTCACATGCGTACGTAAAGAAGCTGCAGGAAAGGAACTGGAGTTGTGTCTACCATACCGACAGTGGGCAGTTCTGGAGAGGGAGAGGCGTTTAGGGTAGGGTCGGTGAGATGGGCAAGAATGGAACCTTCATGGACTCACCTAAATTACTTAAACCTTCTACAATATGGATTTCTTGAATCGATTTTTTTGAAACCTCCAACAAGAATATATAATCACTTTTTTTCTCCCCACGCATCTGATTTAAAAAGCTATTTTTAAAAGCCTTTCTCAACTTTTAAGTCAATGCCTAAACTTCACTTTAGAAGATTGATACCTATTATACCAAAACTTCACTAGAGGGGTTATACCTGTTAGGAAGATGAAAGCATTTGAACGTTTTCTTTTTTTTTTTTTTTTTTTTTTTTTTGCGGTACGCGGGCCTCTCACTGTTGTGGCCTCTCCCATTGCGGAGCACAGGCTCCGGACGCGCAGGCGCAGCGGTCATGGCTCACGGGCCCAGCAGCTCCGCGGCACGTGGGATCTTCCCGGACCGGGGCACGACCCCGTGTCCCCTGCATCGGCAGGCGGACTCTCAACCACTGCGCCACCAGGGAAGCCCTGAACGTTTTCATTTTTGTCATTAAACTTAGATAGGTAGTGATGTAATTTTGTTTAAGAGAACAAAGAAATGGTATCTGGCCTCCTCCCCCTCACATAATTTAGGTGGCTGAACTTTACTTTTCTAAGAACTTATTGCACTTCTCTAGGAAGATGTACCTTTGGAATAATCTTAAACTCAGAAAATGTCAACCAAAGACTAATTTTTTTCACCCAAAAAATATGGAGAAAACCAGAAGTCTTTGTTTTTACAAAAAAGTTTATTTTGAGACTTTGCATTGAGACTATTAAATTCTAAAATAGATAACATTTGTTAGTTAAAGCCTTGGTTATTTGGATTTCCCCAATTTGGAATGGGGCTGGGCTGACATTTAATCATTGTGCTATTCTTAGGGGAAAATGGCCATAGTAAGCAATTTAATCATAAATAGAACTGTGCGAGGGGACTGTCGTCTTCTTTCAATACAATGGAATAAAGTTAACTGCTTGGGACTGCTATTTGATATGCCAATTTGACTATTATTCTCATCTATTAAGTTAGGGAACATTTATTAGGCAATGTTTAATTTCTGTTTGCCTAGATGTATTCTTGAAAGTTGTACTCATTTAAAGATATTCTCTCTAATTGGAATTTTTATTAATTTAGGCAGGCCTTTATTCTTTCACTTAGTTAAAAATTAATAAGATCTCATTTTGTTAAATGTAGAACTTTGCCAGAACAAGATCAAAGCTAGTAAAACTTAGCAAAATCATTTTGATATATATATAATGGAACCATAGAAATAAATATTGTCAATATTTTGGAGCTTTCTATGAATAAAGACTGGAGTTTACATTCACATGATTGCAATGCCTCTTTTATTCTATAGTCTTAAACTCTGGTATCTTTACCCGCAATAGCACTCTACACACAGAGGGAGTTATTTTATAAAACATCTTGATCTTTTACAGTCTAGTTAGGGGAACAAAACTAATGCACACGAAACTGGTAGAGAATAATATGAAACCAAGTACTAAATTGTGAAGGTGACAAAAACTGAAGTAAATAAAAGAGTAAAACATAATGCGATACACTGGGAAGCGTATGTGACCCTGTTAGGTTTCTTACTGTTTGGTGTTTTCAAAGCATGTTCATGTGTACGTTCATTGATAACGTTGGTGTTGCTTCTGCTTTAGAGATAAAAAGGTCAAAGGTCTAAGACAATCTGCTCAAAGTCATAGCTTAGTAAAAAGGCCGTTCTAGATTGCTAGAAATTTGGAGATTGTTCTAATAATCCAGATAAAAGGTTAGTAGAGACCTAGATCAGGGTAGTAGCAATTGAAACAGGGTTGATACAAAAGATGTGGAAGGAAAAATGAAATGGACTTGGTGAATGATAACACGGGGGATAGAGAAACCGAAGAGGCAAAAGAAAACCACAGAGATTTGAGCCAGAGACAATGAAAAGAGAGGGGTTGGCATTGCTAGATAAGGGGAAGTTACCAGGGGCAGAATTTTCAGAGCAAGTTAGTTATTTTCTCAGCTTGTTGAATTTGAGGTCACTGAGAGACACCCATTAGGACAGGAGAAGGAAGATTGAGATCCACCAAGGGAGGACCACCAAGGGTGCGGGGTAGCAAGGAGTGGATGGTCACCAGAGGCAGACAAAGCCTTCCTCCAAGAAGCCTTCAAAGATACGTGAAGGCAGAGGGGAGGGTTTTCGTTAGTTGCCACCAAGGACGATGGTTCCTAGTTAGATTTTTGTAACCAGACACAATCATGACGATTTAACAAGTAACCCGCCTGTGTGTTTCAATCCTTCAGGTGGTATTGGAATGCTATGTGAGAAAGGACTTGGTCTACACCAAAGCCAACCCAACCTTTCATCACTGGAAGGTCGACAATAGGAAGTTTGGACTTACTTTCCAAAGCCCTGCTGATGCTCGAGCCTTTGACAGGGGAGTGAGGAAAGCAATCGAAGACCTTATAGAAGGTATTGAATATATTACCGCATTCTCAGTGGGACTATGGGAAGTTTCCAGGTTCTTTTTAATCTGAATTGTCTGCCATCATATATTTGTGGATTATTTGTAGGAAGGTTGGGGGCCAGGTCAGTAGAGGCCAAAACTTCAGGAACATCCAAGGAGAAAAAAACTTTAAGTGACAGTGCAGGGGAAAAGGAGATGGGTTTCAGAGTAACGAGTGATTCCAATTGGTTTTTAGACTCTGCTCTGAAAAGACAAGTTCTAGACTTCCATGTGAATGACTTTTTGATGTGTTTTACCTTTCCCTGACTATTGAGAAACAGCTTTGGTCAGGTTTGGTCCAGAGGTGGAGAATAGATTCTAATGGGCCCAGAAATCTCCATGCCTTCCCACTGTTGTGTAAGGAGAGCCCAGGGGGTACGTCTGCTACTGAAAAGGCAAAGGGGTCTGTGACTCCTTAGTCCATGGGTGAGCAGCTGGTAAACACTGTGTTGCATTTAATCGTGGCCTGGAAGGCTCTTGGGCAGTGAGTTCTTGTGGGCTTTTCTAGAATACACAGAGTCCAAACACACAAATTCTCCACTTCGACACATTCAGTTATCAAATCAAAGGGTTCAAGGTTCCATAGCCAGGGTCCTGTGAATAAAGGAATATTAAGCAAGGCATGGTAAAGCCAAATTCAGAATTTGGGGAGATTAATCACAAAAGAATATATGTTTTACTTGTATATGAAATAAATATGTGCTGAAGTCATTTTCTTCATTGCGGATTTGGGGGAAGAGAGAAAAGCAAATCTCAAAAGAAAAATCTCTTAACCTCAGCAGGGAGACAGTTCTGGCTGGAACACGAATCAGGGAACTGCAATCCCAGGTTGGCCAAAATGAGTAACAGCCAGTGTTCACATCATAGATCTGACACAAGTGGCAAATGTTTAAAATCTTGTATAGCTTTTAAATGTTTAGAAGAGAAAGTATCCTGTATTATTGATAGAAGCAGTATGTCCATGTACTTAGTCACCGAAGCTACACACAAAATTTGATTCTCTTGTAATTTTTTTTCTCTGTATACACTCTACCTAGCTCTGTTCTATCGAACTTGCCTTAAACGTTGATTGACTAGAGTAATTCAAATAGTAGAGAAAAATCCTCAGAGATCAATGGGAATTGCACACAGGGTATTGTGGGACTTGTTTTTCCTCCTGTGATCCCTCATTGGAAATGTAAATGTTTCTCATTCCTTTCTGAGCAAGTCTTTTGAATTCAGTTTCATGTAAGAGCAAAATATTTTCCAAATGTACATTTTGTAAGACCTAATGAAGAAAAGGAGAAAATAGAGACTAAATTTCCCTTTTGGTAGATCTATCACTTGTGCAAATTTTTTTTTTTTTTTTTTTTTTGGG